TTTTATTTTATTTGTTTCTGATTATATTTTGTTTTCTTGTATTTTATCGCTCTGCTGACCCTTGGGGTCCATTTTATTTTGGTATACCTTTTCTAGGTACGTTAGCCTGTGACCACGGAAATTGGCCGAGTCAAGTGATGGATTAGTACGGAGAGATTGAGACAGAAGGAGGTACTGGATAGAGAGACCGGGATGGTTTTTAATGTGAAGACAACAACAACAACAACTGTTAACAACAACAACTAGAAAGAGTTTCCCAAGTCTAAAAATAGAACAGTGTAGCTGCTTTAGAGATGATTGAAATGCGTGAATCACCTAATTTTCGGGTCCTAGAGTTTGTTTTCGTTTGCTGTAGATAAGTTACTGCGGAGAATTATTACAGAATTACATGCATAGACTAGACACAACATACATATTGGTGAAATTGAGAGCGAAGCATGAAATTGAGAGCGAGCGCCCAAAAAGTTAAAATTCGGGTCCAGACGCCTCTTGCCATTTCTTGAGAAGTAGGGAGCGGGCTCTTCCAAGAAGCGGCGCAAATTGAAGGTCTCATCAGCACCGTCACGAGGATAATATGCGTGTCATCGTCATCGGATGCTGCAGCTAGGAGCTAGACAAGTTGCTAGATTTCCCCAGATAGGCTATTCCTGCCTCAAACTGTTGCAGGGCGGTTTGGCCTCGGGCGGTGGGCTCTGCTGTAGCTTCTGCTCGCCGCTGTATCTCCACATCGAGAGACTCCCACAGGATGACCAGGGTATCTGCTTGTAGCTACGGGCTGGCCCTTCAATTCAAGCTACACAGCAAGCTCCACCTCTCAGCAGTAGTCCAGCTGCAGCGCATCGCGCAATCTCGCTCTCAATCAGATGCTTCGCTCTCAATTTCACCAATATGCTGTTTAGACTAGTCTACATAGACTGTGTGCGGAGAATTCATGAACACCCGCACCGTATAACGTCTCATGCATCAAAACCAGTAGTCTACATACACTGTTAGGCCGAGTACCAGTTGTAGATAGGTTTGGACCACAATCAAACCAACAAGGAGATGGAAGAGACGCATCATTGCCCATGACATACAACAGGAAGTTGATGACATGTCCACGCTCGGTATGCGAACACAGCGGAAAAGGAACGGTTAAAAAAAAAAGTGTACGAAATCTACGAAACGCTGTGGTAGAAGAGCAGGCTAGGGTTCAATTCGTTTCATCCATTTTATGGTTAGTTTCATGGTATCTTACCATTTGATTCAAGTTGGGGTTAGCAAAAGGGATGCAATTCCGGTGGGTCTACCCAGGGGGGTCTAATCCAGGTGGGACTTACACTCTTTTTGACCAATAATAACCAGAAACGGGTATACCTGGGTACTTTATCACCACTTTAGGGTACAATAGCCCAAGCTGTCGTGCCGGTCCAAAATTCTACATCATCACGGCATCGCAATCTGTGGTGCCCAAACTACACTGGCCCCGAACGCCAGTGATTGCTAAGTACTTTCTGGACCGCGACGACGTTGCAAAGTCTGGCCGGAGGCTCCGTGACGACATAAAAAGGGATGGACACGTGGCCGCATTTTTTCCGTGCTAATTGCGCCGCTGCCAACTACTCGTGTTCAGAGGCCGTTAGGTGTCGATTCTAGGTGACCTTTGCAGACCCATGGAGGGCGAAATGATGCTGATCTAAATTTCTAGACTTTTGCATCGAATCCTGTGGCTATCCTTCCGCCGTGTGGCGAAGTCACGAAGGACGTAGTCCCGTTTTCTGACCGCGACGGCCTGCGGAAGTTTGCAACCAAGAGAGCTGAAAAACAGGACGTTCGAAAGAGCAACCGATGGGCATGATGAAGCAAACCTCGAGCTGAAAGCAAAATCACGGCGTGAAAACTGCTTGCGGACATAGGTTGGAACTATGTTGGACTGGTCTGCCAGTTTCATGGAGATCCGCGGTCTGTGCCAGTGGTACCAGTGGTGTACAAGGG